CACTTAACCAACTGAGCCACCCAGGCGCCCCTGTTACTGATATTTTAAATTATCCCTCTGGTTTGATATGGGAGAGGAGTTTTTACACAGTGGGACAGTGACCCGTAGTCCAGTTCAGGATGGGTGGAAGGCCCGTCTCTTGTTAAGTGGGAGAAGGCTGTTGAGGAAAGGGACATGGGCACAGAGTATCTGCACTCAAACCCTACTCTGTTTTAGGGAATAATACTTATGAACATTGAGGATCAAGAAGTTGATTCCTTTAAAACAATATGTGTCTATGAATCCTTGAAAAATCTTTGTGTACCCCAGGGGTATATGTTCCCCACTGAAGATCACTGCCCTGCAGTGATGTTCTTCAGACTACAGGTTATAACCCTTTGATGGATAAAAAACAATTAAGTGGGTTGTGACCTGTAGTTTAAAAAAAAAAAGGAATAGAATGGAAAATAACAGCACAATACACTTGGTAAGATTCAGTTAAGTAGAGTCACACGGGCTGTTTTGTGTCAGTGACACATATAGGTGTATGTATAGAGTTGTGATATGAAATACGTTTCTTGCTGCGGGTTGTGGTCAGAGAAGTTTGAAAGCCAGTATTCCATGAGATGCAGCGTTCTTAGGCCTCACCGAATGCAGCCGCGACTTGCAAAGGCTTGCTGCCTGCATTACGCGATGGGTTCCGTGTTCCTGTGGCTTGTGGGAGGGCTGTTTCCGTGTTTGATTTGGTTCCTTCATAGGCTGACACGGAGATGGGAAAGCTGGTGTCTCCTATCTCGGCATGGTGGCACTCTGCAGGTTACCGTGAAGGTAGGGATGACTGAGATACGGTGTTATCTTAAAAAAAGTAGAGTCTTCTGGAGCAGATAATACATTTTGCACAGTATCATCGTTTGAATATATGTTGAGTGTCATGAGAAAGAAGTTATGTCCAGTTCTTCAGTGTGTTTATATGACTTCGTTAATTCTCCCTTATAAAACTTATTTTAACCTTGAATTGATGAGGCACCACTTTAAACTGTGCAGTGGTGTGTCCTTGTCAAGAGGACCTGTGATACCTTTAATGTGTATGCAGGGCATCATGGCAGCAGGCCACTGACAACCAGTTAGAGCTCACTGCCGGGCTGGCGGGGACGTCCTGTTTTCCCTCCTCCGCTCACACCAGCAATCCTTTTTATAGCTTTTTCTTTCAGTCTTGGCTTATTCAGTAAACTCAAGTTAATCTTGCCCCAAGTGTATTCATTTTGTTTTCTGGTTTCCTCTGTCCCCAAATAAAGCTGTTAGGGCTTCCTTTGTTTTCTTATTTTCTTCTTTTAAATTATAAAATGGACTTTCCTAGAAGATTCTGAAGAAATGAAAATGACCAGGGACCTCTCATTTCTGAAATACATGATCATTCGCAGTTTCTTTCTCTGATCCAGACAGCTTGCAATGTAGGTTCATTCAAAAAACATCATTGGTATGTTAAAATTGCTTTAAGGACATCTAGGCCTAATAAATAATCTGTATGTGTGCTGTTGTATCTTTACTATCTGGACTTCTTGGTGAACTCCAGCTGGCGTTGAGTTGAGGTAACTTTTCACAAAATTTCAAAAGGAATAGTGTGATCCTTTTTGAAAGATTTTGGTGTCATTTCTAAAGAAAATGCATAGTGTGTAAAAGGTAAATGTGGATTCAGTTCCGGTCTTGGCTGTTTGCCTATGTCTCAATGGAAATAAAATTTACGGATGTCCTCTAAAGCGGAGCTTCTGTTACGGCATCTGCTAGGAAGTGTAAACCTAGTCGCTTATGGTGGTTGCAGATGGTGGCAGTAGAAGTCATGGATTTGACGTGTTCAGCAGTCTTTGTTTTATCTTTCGGCAAACCAGGTCAGGGTAACTCTGGAAGTCCAGATACCTGTATTTTCCCCAATAGGAGTAGCTTTTGCTTTGGTATTGTAATAGCTGTGCTTTTGTATTTGGAGAACAGCTGAAGTATAAGTGCAGACAGTAATGATGAATGCTAATAAGGGAGATTATTAGCTTTGGACTCCTCTGACTGCCTCTTCCTGCCTTAGTACCTACTCTTTTCTCAGCAGACTTCAACTGGGAATGTTAAAGTATTTCTGAAAGCTTTGTTGCCTTTCCACTGAACTTGAAGGAAAAGTATTTAGCTTTTAAAAAGAAGTATTTGATTTGGCTTTCTTTTTTAGCCAACTTCAGTATACAGCTCGGCACTGTAACGGGGTTTGTGTTTCGGAAATCTTCAGTCTTGGGCAATAAGAGAAAGCCTGTTACATGAAGCAGCAAACAAAAGGCCATAGAGTTCTGAATTTGAAGGAAAATAGTAGGGATGTAGCACGCGTTAATCACCAGAAGACTGAAGTT